GGGCCGGGCGCTCCCGCGGAGGACGCGGGCGGCGGGCGCAGGCGGCGGGGGCGGCGGATCCCCACTTCCTCCGCTCGCTGCTGTAACCCTGCGGGAAGTTTCATCAGACCCCGGGGGCCAATCAGCGCGCGGGGGCGTGGCTCCGGTGTGCTCCCGCCGCGGTGGGCGGGGCCGAGGGGCCGGAGGGTGGGCAGCGAGGAGCAGCTTGTCTGCTAAGGGTTCCTGGGGCGGAGTCCTGCCTGCTACAGGGGGCCTCAGAGCCGGTGGCGGGCCTCTGTTCTTGATTGGTTCCTAGAAATTCATCACAGCGTCCCCCTACAGCAGATCTTTCCCATACCCTTAGTTTTAAAGGCCTCTCTTTCTAAGAGATCATCTGATACATAAGTGTGGGTACACTGCCAGGGATATAGCTCAGCGACACAGTGTCTCTGGTAAGCGTGAAGTCTTGAGTTCAATTCCCGGGTACAAAGAAAAATGTCGTTACACATATTGAATAGCTGCAAGGTGACCTATGCAATACAAGGTGGATTCTACTATTTCAGGAAAAGTCAAATTTTCCTTCCTCTGGGTAAGCACAACTCACCGTATTTGTTTCGTTGTTTTTCTGGTGGGGTACTGAGAACCGAACTCAGGACCGCATGCTTGCCAACCAGGCGTTGCACCACGGAGGTAAATCCCGGCATCCCATATTTGTATTTTGAGGTGTAGCAGCGAGCCCCTGCAGGTGCACATTGCTACAGTACTCCCGCGTCCTTCCTGGTTGAACTGAAGCGCTGAGTCCTGTGCTCAGCTCCGTGAATACTACTAAGCAAATTCTGAGTATGTATCGCATTCGATTCCCTATTACACTTGATTTTGAGTAAGATTGAACATAGAAAGAAAGGTAGAAAAGGAAATTAAGAGATGGTAATATCATATCGCATTTTTAGGAAAAACAGCAGTTTCAGGACAAGACACAAAAATTAGTCGAACATCCCTCCAGAAAACTACATTTTTTAAAAATCCTAAAGGTCTTAAAATCCCAGTATACCTGAGCCTATACTCTTCTCTCTTTTACATATAGATTGGGCCTTTACCTTTCCAGCTGTGGATGGCCTCTCGCCGTTCACCTGGAAAATGGTCCTTTTCTGCCTATAGAAAGGACCATGCCTTTCAACTGTAACATGAGCCCCTTTCCAGCCATAAAACCACAGAAGTACACCCAGCTCCAGACCAAAGTATGCCTCTTGACACGCTCCCGGCCACCTTCAAACCATGGCATCCACCGCATCTCCACGGACCCACAGCCACCCAACTGGGAACAAATTACCTGATCTGTACGGAAATTGTTCATGGGGCAGTTATTGCTTTAAGAATTATTGCTTCAGAAATACAGCAAAGTATGGTTTAGGGTAGAACTCAGAAGTTATCAGCAGAGGCTGATATCATTTCATCAACAATAACAGATTAACAATGGTTAATACATTGCCTCTTGTTATCTTCAGAGTAGTTGCTCAGATTACAAGATATAAGCGTGAAAGATTACAGCACAAACCATTGCTTTTAATGAACTAATAGAAATAGGAGTATATTTATCTTAGCTATCTTGTATATATATATATATATATATATATATATACATATATTTTTTCTTTTCCCTTCCTTCTTTTTTCTTTTCTCCCATCCCAGTTGTTGGTTCCTTTTGAGCAGTTTCTTTCCCTTTTACAATATCTATTGTACACTTTGAATCTTATTTATTCTTTCAGTTTCTTACACTAGAGAGACAATATGATCTTTACATATGAGTCTGATTTATTTCACTTATGAGTATGATCTGAAGTTGCATCCATTTACCTATAAAAGTCTCAAGTTTATCCATCTTTATGACTGAGTAGTGCTCCATTATATAAAAAGACCACAACATTTTTATCCATTTCTCAGATGATGGGCATTTGGGTTATTTCCGGGATTTAGCTATTATAAGTTGTGCTGCTATAAACATAGGTTCATATAGATCATTGTGGTATGATGTTTTTAATTCTTCTGGAGAGACACCCAGAAGGAGAATAGCTGGATCGAATGAAACCTCTAATCCTAGATTTCACAGTGGTTGGACCATTCTGCACTACCTCCAACACATGAAGGGAGTTCCTTTTCTCCCACAGCCCATCCAGCATTTGTTATTGGTTGATTTCTTGATGATAGCCATTCTTTCTGGAGGGAGATGGAATCAGTGTTGTAATTTGCATCTCTTGAATGACCAGTGATGTTGAACATTTTTTCATGTATGTATATGTTTGTGTACAGGAATGCTATTGATTGTTGAGAGTTGATTTTGTATCCTGCTACACTACTGAATTTGCATATTAAATCTAGAAGTCTTTTGGTGGAATTTTTGGGGTCTTCTTTGTAGAGTATCATGTCATCTTTGAATAATGCTAATTTAGTTTCTTCCATTCCTGTCCTTATTCCTTTTATTTCTCTCTCTTGTCTAATTGTTCTTGCTAGTGTTTCCAGAACTGTATTGAACATGAGTGGTGATAGTAAACATTCTTGTCTTGTTCCTGATTTTAGGGTGAAAGTGTTCAGTTTTTTTTTCCCATGTAGTGTGATGTTGGTTGTTGGTTTGTCATAGATGGCTTTTATCAGATGAAAATAATGACCATCTGTCTTGATTACTTTTCTCTTGTTGCTAAGACAAAATACCCAATGCCCAAAATTAAGGAAGGAGAGGTTTATTTAGCTCACAGTTTGTGGAGGTTTCAGTCCATGATCAGCTGGCTGCAATGCAGGGTGGCATGGCACAGGGGCAGCCGTTCAAAGCAGCAGAAGAAAGCAAAAGCAAAAGAGCAAGAAGTGGGAGAACAAGCCTCTTCCCCTCCCTTATATTGTATGCAGGCTCTTCACCCTGCAGTGGGTCCTTTACACCCACACCATGTCCATGACTTCCTCTTCCACAAGATCAGGATCTTTGCAAAGTAAGATACCTGGTCACCTGCTGAGTTGCTTAAGGAAGTTTCCAAACTTCTCAGGGTGACAAAGCCATTATACACCATTTATTCCAAATTTTTGTAGGCTTTTTTATCTGCATGATGGCTGTACTTTGTCAAAATCCTTTACTGCATCTATTAAGATGCTCATGTGTTGGTTCTGTTGATATAGTGTACTACATTTCTGATTTGCGTATGTGGAACCATTCCTGCATTCCTGGGATGAATCCCATTTGGTCATGGTATGTTGTCTTCTTGCTTATTTGCTGCATTCTGTTTACTAGTATCCTATTAAAGATTTTTGTATCTATGTTCATTAGGGAGATTGGCCTGTAGTTCTCTTTTTCGGTTGGGTCTGGAACAGCCAGAGAGTTCAATGACAGTGGCATTCGCAAGAGATGGGGAGAGCAGAAACAAAGCTTTATTGAGCCAGCTGACGGACAGTCTCTAACTAGGGGCCAGAGAAGATGTTCATGCCAATCTGGGTCTCACCTTTGGTTTAAGTACATTTTTAGCTTTCCGTAATAACTATTACTTCATTTTGGGAACTTACAAGAATGTCATATAATTATCACAAAGTTTATCTTTCCCAGGAGCCGGAGAGCTGAATTCCAGATGACCACTGAAGTTTAACTTTTAGCTTACTTCCTAATTTGTCCTATTTGTTCTGTTCCCATTTTATGACTCTACTCTCCTTTAAATGGGTTGATAACTAACCAAGGTAAAGGGGTGAAAAGTGGGGGTCAACTGCAGCTTAAGTAAACTTAAGTGACTTTATATGGAGTTAAAAACGGAAAATGGAGTCTCTCTTGTCCTATCAGGTCTTTCTCTGGTTTTGGTATCAGGGTAATACTTGTCTCCAGGAATGAGTTAGGGAGTATTGCTTCCATTTCAATTTCATTAGGGAGTTTTTGAAGTATTGGCATTATATCTCTCTACATTTCTTGTAGAATTCAGCCATGAATCAGTCAGGACCTGGGCTTTTCTTTGTTGGTAAGTTTTTAATTCCATTTTCAACTTTATTGACTGATATTGGGTTATTCAGAACTTCTTAATTCAGTTTTAGTAATTCATATGTGTCTAGGAATCTGTCCATTTTTTCTGTGTTTTCCATCCCATGAGAGTGAAGATTTTCAAAGTAGGTATTGATGATCTTCTGAATTTCCACAGGATGTGTAGTGATTTCACCCTTGTCAGTCCTCATTGTATGAATTTGAGTCTTTTCTTTCCCTTTAAGATTGGGTAAGGGTTTATCAATTTTATTTATTCTTTCAAAACCAACTCTTCAGTTCGTTATTCTTTATATTGTTTTCTTAGACTCAATTGCATTAATTTCTGCTCTGATCTTTATAATTTCCTCCCTTCTTTGAGCTTTGGGCTTGCTCTTCTTTTTCTAGCAGCTTGAAGTGAAACATTGGGTCATTTCTCTGTGCTTATTCTGTTTTGCTGATGTGACTATTCATCACTATAAATTTCCCTCATAGGACTGCTATCATTGTGTCCCACAAGTTTGTTCTATCTGCATTATTGTTTGATTGTAGATACTGTTTAATTTCATCTGTGATTCATTGGTTGTTCAGGAAGGTGTTATTTAATTTCTATGTGTTTATGGAGTTTTTGTGGTTCCTTTTGTCATTAATTCGCAATTTCATTGCACTATTGTCAGATAATATACATGAGATAATTTCAATTCTTTTGCATTTACTTAAGCATGTTCTATAGGAAAATATGTGGTCTGTTTTAGAGAATGTCCAATGTGCAGCTGAGGAG